AGGAGATGCTGTGGGGAAGGGCATTTGTTGGGAACAAACGCTGAATACCTGGAGTGTTGAGTTTGAAGTTTCCTGGATTTCCTGATTTCTTCCTGGCTTCCTGGATTAATTGCCTTGCTCGTTTCCTTCCTGGACTCATTGACTTGCCCTGCTGGATTTCTTGCTTTGCAGCCATTGTGCTCACAATGTTGGGCTGAACTACTTGCAGCCAGAGGCTGCTGGAGGTGTATGTGTTTGTGTGTGTGGTTTGAACTGCCAACTGAGCACATTGTAAGCCGCCCTGAGTCTTCGGAGAAGGGCGGCATATAAATCAAATTAAAAAAATAAATAAATTAAAAAAAAAACTGCCTGTGTTGCCTCTGTGTCATGCCCCAGATCATCACAGTTACAACTGTGTCCAAGCACTATGACTCAGCAACTATATCCAGCCAATCATACAACCAGAAATCATACCAGGACTCAGAAAGGTATTTAAAGACCAGTGCTCCCTCAGACAAGCACAATCCAAAGTGCACTGAAGATGTCTCCTTGAAAGGGGATGAAACGTTTGCAACCAAATCGCCAAACTCGGAGCTCAAACCAATAACATTACTACCAACCCAAGCTACTAATATTCAAAGACCTATCCAACATACTTTCTTCCTTTTTCCCCCCAAAACAACTCTGTGAGGTGGGTTGGGCTAAGAGAGAGTGACTGGCCCAAGGTCACCCAGCTGGCTTTCATGCCTAAGGCAGGACTAGAAATCACTGTTTCCTGGTTTATAGCCTGGTGTCTTTAACCACTAGACCAAACTGGTTCTACATCATTTGTTTCTTCTTTATATCATGTTATAGAGGGAAATATTCCTTTAATATTCATTATTTTGTAAAGTATACATACTTCTCTGTTGTAAGAGAACAAATACTAGTACATTTGCACATATCTATTATCATATTACCACATATAAGGCTATTTTAAATCATACTGGAATAGTATACAGTGTCTCCAACTATAGTGGATTTGAGTTCAAATGCTATGCTGGCTAGAAATTATGACAAATACAATGCAATACTACTGAAAGGTGCAAAATGGGAACAAATTGTATTGATGTTCCAAGAAACAGCCGTTCTATTTAATAGCAACTGGTATCAAACAATTCCAAAGTTTGCTTTTTCCAAGGCAGCATGAATGTTTATGTATTTCCTCAAGGAAACGCATTCACAGCATACCACACCATATTTGTAAATGTTTATCTTTTATGGAAGGAGCAAAAAGCTACAGAGTGTGCTTTGTTATTGTCCCAATCAATGCCTGGTATTTTATACAATTAAGATGAATGGCCCACAATAATGCCAAGGATTTCTAACTTGAAATTGTTCTCAAGAGACTTATGATTTGCAGTTTCTTTGAAGAATGGATTCATAGGAGCTTAAAGCATGCTTAGCCAAGCTTTGGCTGCAAAGCAATATGAAGGTGGTAAAATGGTATGGAGGTGAATTGTAGTTTTTAACAAATTGAAATGGATTAAGTATTGATGTGACTCAGCTGCCACAATTGTCACCAAAGGAAAGTTGCACAGTGGAAACAAAAATCTAACAGAATTCAATGTTCTGGAAAGTATACCTGATATCAAAAAATAAGTGATACAATGAACTCTGTGATAATCTCATTCTTGAACTGATTTATGACTTTTTAGCTTTTTTATGTTCTTCAACATCAAGTTTTTATTTAACTAAATATTATATAGTGTCAGTTTTTGCTGTTGTGATGCTGTTTACAGACTGCAAGGAAAAGAAGAAAATACTAGTATAAAGCTCTTATTGAAATACCAATTCCATTGGAGAAAACACTTTATTTATGAATTAAGACTGAATCTATACCACATATTGATATTTCTTTTTCTATTATCACTTCATTTAACTTTGTGTGTGGGTGGGTGTGTCTGTGTTCATGTATGTGTGTTTATCAGTGGTGGGTTGCTCCCAGTTCTGCCTGGATCTTTAGAACCGGTAGTAAAAGTGGTGGGAGGCTCTGCCCACCCACACAGACATCATAATTTATGATCTGCACATGCGCAGAAGCACGCACAGTGTCCCGTTGCGAACCGGTAGTAAAAATAAGTAGAACCCACCCCTGGTATGTATGCATATGCACACACACACACACACAGAGAGAGAGAGAGAGAGAGAGAGAGAGAGTTGGGACTGGAATTGCAGTCACCAAGCAATATAGTCATAAAGCACTGTGTCACACCACTTAGCAACAGCAGTTTATTAAAGCAGCCCTATCTGATAAAAAAGTTCATCTGGTTGCTTCCTGGAAACAGATATAGTTTTATTATGTCACAGGTGCTGTATCTACACTTCTGCACATTCAAAAGCATCTCTTTCGTAGAATTCTGAAGCGTTGCATAACCTTCCTGATGAACCTCTTGTGTGAAATCCAGTGAGTTTTGACAATAATGGACAGGATGAACCAATGGTCTCATTCTGCAGAATGCAATTATTATATGCTTTATTTTTCATTAAGATAATTATAGTGTAATCAATTACGCATATTCATGCACTCCAGCTCCACCGCACATAGTTTCAGATATGCCATTAAGTGCAATGTGCAATGCAGAGGTGAGTTCTACTTACCTTTACTACCGGTTCGCAAAGGGGCCGCACGTGCACTTGCTTTGCTCGCACGTGCGGTCTTCTGCACAAGCACAGAAGCTTCTGCACATGTGCAGAAGCGTTCTGATGACGTCGAGATCAGTGGGCGGAGCCTCCCGCCAGTTTTACTATAGAACCGGTGCGAACCGGGGGCAACCCACCACTGGTGCAATGCCATAAATTGTGCCAACATTTCCATCTTACCTCCATTCCTCAATGTTGTTCTCGCTTGCCTATACATTTTTTTTTAAGTTTTATTAACATAAACAAACATAAAACACAAACACATGTAAACACTTATACATTAACAAAGAGTCAATCGACTAACTTCTAGAAAACCTTCGCATCGGTGATTAATGTCCATTTAACCAATTTTCCTTAATCATACTATTTACAAATTCACTTGCTTATACCTTAATATATTCATTGAAGTTCAGCAGTATCTTTCTACAAACATATTAACCATTTATTTATACAATCCTACGGCTCATCTCATGTATCTATTTCTGCGATTCTTGAGTTATGTTCTCCTAATGTCCTATGTTGTTGGCCCTATCCTTCTTTCTAACCATGTGTACCATTTTTGCCAAACTAAATAAAAGTCAGTGTTCTCTTTATCTTGGAGCTCTTTTGTGAGCCTATCCATCTCTGCGCATTCATTTATTTTTGTTATTATTTTTTCTTCTGTTGGTATTATCTCGGATTTCCAATTCTGAGCGTACACTATACGTGCCGCTGTCAATATGTGGATGGTAAGATATTTTATCTCCTTGGTACACTGTGGTGTAGTCATTCCAAATAGAAAGAATTCTGGTTTCATTTCTACACTTTGTCTCGTTGTTTCTTCGATTATTCTCTTAATCTCTTGCCAGTAGCGTTGTGCCTTCCTGCAAGACTTGCCTATACATTTATCACCAAATATCATTTTCCAAATTTTAGGACTGCCTGTATTCGTGGAACTGTATGTACAAAAGTTCCTTCCTTATTAATGTTAATGGCTAAAGCATGATTTACTGAGTAAAGCAGCATCACATATAGGGTATTAAGAGGGCATAGCAATTCAGGGTTCTTTAATTATTGAAACTATTATTTTTATTATGCCTGGGTTACTGCACTACTGGGTGCTCTTCAGACTATTTTCCAAGTCTTTGCAAATATACATGCCCATATTTGATAATATATCTAGTGCTTATGCAACAGCTAGTGTTGCAGCTCATATCAACATTTTATACTATTTTATTATGCAAACATACAAGAACATAGATTTTAATGTTGGCCTTGCAACCCATAAAACATTTTAGGTGTCATTTAAAGATGGAAATGCTTTGATGAAGACTTGTATCTTTTTAATTGTACTAAAATTCCAATCTATGTCTAACCCAGTCTGTGTAGCAGCTGAGTTTCCAATGAGCCAAGAGTTTGGGTTTTAAAGTTATTTTTAATGCAGCTCAGTATGACTCATGCTTAGCGAATCTTGCAGGAATGTTGAATATTGGTAGGGCAGGAGATGTCACATTTGGAAGAAAGCTTCCCCCCCCCACTCCTCTAAGGCTCTTAAATTCACATTAATTCCATTGATACCAAATCAGGCCTACATATGCAACAGGATAAAATAGATTAAAGTAAAATATTGCATTTTATCATTTTAGATTGAAATTTCGGAACATAGAGAGACACATTATATGATTACAGAAAAAAAAAGAAAGTATTTCCTTAAGAAGGAAAACATTTATATATATTCTGCTCTACAAGTTAATGCAGTATTATCAACACTCAAGTACAATTACTGTTGATTTAATGAGCTGCATTTAGAGATAGAAAAAAAAAAGCTGGTTGCAGATATTCCCTATTGTATGTTAACGTGATATTCAAATATTCAGTTATTTCTTTAAATTAACATTTTTATTTCTCTTTAACTTGCAATGGTGAGATTTATATGCTATGTGAATGACTAGTTAGCGTCATAGTCCATCCTCCCAGCCTTCTTATATGTAGCTGAATTTAAATATATATTGAAGTACTATTATACTAATGAACTAATTGAATTATCTGTTCGTTCATACGACAAATCTCTCACTAGCATTTTGAATGCAGGACAAAGCAGAGTCCAGTGCTGAAATAGTTTCTGAGATTCTTGGTTGGTTAAAAAAAAATCCTGTACAATTATGTATTGCTAAAATCTAAATTTGAAACTGATGTTACAAAAGTATTTTCATGGCTTAAAAATAAATAAGGAATCTATTTCCTCACTATAAAGAAAAATATCAACTTAGATGTTTTGACACATCTATTTTCTCTAAATAAGCCAAACACACTGGTTGATGAATAATGATTTCATTTTTTTTATTTCAAATCTCTTTTAGATTCGAAATAAGAGCAAAGCATCCAAGGCTGGATTATGTGAAGGAGATGAAGTGATATCTATCAATGGCAACCCTTGTGCTGAGTTGACTTATTCTGAAGTTCTTCTTCTGATGGAAGGCCTGACTGACACTCTTCAAATGCTTATCAAAAGGTAAAAGGAATTCAGATTTATTTCTTAACCTGATACGGCCTCAATCATTAGCCTATAAATCACATTCTTTTAATTATTTATTTAATTTTATTTATTATGAAACTTATATGCTATCCATCTTGCCTAGAAGTGATTTTTAGATTGTGAACGTAACAAATCTTAATGCCCAGGAAAGTTTACGTATTTGTAAGCCGATTCCTAAGTAGCTGGTTACAATCATTTTGAACTGAATCCACAAACAAACAAACAAACAAACAAATGTCAGGTTGTGTGTCATTGCAAGTTGAGCAATGATTAATAAGATAATGTTTTTCCATATATTACTGTATGCAACTTTATTCTATGTAATGATATTTCAGAGCTACAGTATATAGAATTTAAATGCCTAAAAATAAAGTTTGTAGAGATAGATGGTATTTCTATCTAGGCAACATTATTAATGCAAATATATTAGCTAATCATAAGGTAATGTATCATGATATGAAGTCTTGCTGGTTTTCTCTTCTAAATTACAATTCTTGAATTCCTTCCTTCCTTCCTTCCTTCCTTCCTTCCTTCCTTCCTTCCTTCCTCCCTCCCTCCCTCCCTCCCTCCCTCCCTCCCTCCCACTGAAGTATTGACTAAATCAGTTCAATAATTGCATCTCAATTGCACCCATCTTAAGTACTGTTCAGATCAGTGGTGGGTTGCCCCCGGTTCGGACCGGTTCTATAGAACTGGTAGTAAAACCAGTGGGAGGCTCCGCCTACTGCCCCTGACATCTCACAAGTGATCTGCGCATGCGCAGAAGCAAGGCGTGTGTGCGAGCTCGCTTCGCTCGTGCACACGATCCCATTGCAAACCAGTAGTAAAGGTAAGTAGAACCCACCCCTGGTGCAGATACTGTAACTTATATAACAGGGAAGGAGAAATAAGAAGAATCACCGATGTCTTCTTGGCCAATTTAATTCCTACTGCATTGCATAATCAAAGTAATATTAGCAAAATATTAGTACCTATATTATCAGGACAGAGAAAAGGTGCTTAGGGTATCTACACTAAAGTCCTTTCCACAGAACCACTGGCTTTACATAACCTTTTCCCAATTCTAAGCAGAGTTTTGTACTATTGCACATTTCTCCTTGTCTTAAAGTATCCAAACAAATTAAAAATGAGCTTCAGGAGAAACTGGAAGTGTCGCGGCAACACTGGTTGGGAAATAGTGAAGCTCCGCCAAGCTTCACGAAAATCCAGGCAGACAAGCCACTATCGGGGGGTCTTCGGACCAGAACAGTTTTGTAGGAATGGGGGAGAGAGAGAGGCGCCTCGGAAGACCAAAGAGGAACAGGCAAGTTCCTCGAATGGTCGGAGGCAGCTCTTTGACCCGGCGGTGGGGGAGGCAGCCATTACGTCTGCTACAAGCTGGGGCAACCAGACTAAGAAATGTGCAGGAGCGGAGTTTTGAACAGAGTATTGTTACCGGGTGATTAATTGGCCAACTCACTGGTAAAAAGAAAAAAAACTTTTAATATCTTAAAGAAATCCCAGCGATAATTTGGCGGCTACTTAGCACAGAGGAATTTAAGCGGAGGGGGGAAAAAAAGAGGAACTTTAAAATCAAACCTAAAGCCCTAAAAGGAATCTTCCACCTGGATTTAAAATTGGATTTCGAAAGAAAAAAAATATAAGACAAGGAAAAAGGAGACAGAAAAGTATTTTTTAAATAACAAAAGGATTTAATTTGGAAAAGAGAAAGTAAGCATTTTTGTGGATTACAAAATGGATATGTTGTTACTAGAAGATTTGTGAATCAGAGAAAGACATCTGCTGGCGGAAAGAGCATGAGAAAGAGACATTGGAGTACATATTTGTGCAGCTGAAGCAAGATTAAACAGAAGTGAAGGATAAAGATTGAAATTGTGTTGGCTCAAGTGAATATTTGAATTGGACATTAAAAAAAAGGGACATTATATGGACTTTGAAACCTGAAATACATGTAAATGAAAAGAACAAATTTAAAAATCCTAGTCTTTTAAATTGAAAATATGGAGAATTGGGAGGATGAATATGAGATACTGAGGGAGATGTTTCAAAAAATAAGAGAAGCATTTAAGGGAAATAAGAAAGCAGAGGATTGGTTAGAATGCAAAAAAAAAAAGAGAAAAGATGAATGAGAAGCAAAAGAAACAAGGAGATAATATTGAAAAGGAAACAATTGAAAATAAAGATAAAGATGATTACACTGAATTTAAAGTGACAGAATAAAAATAGAGAAAGGAAATTACATCTCAAATATGAAAAGAAGAGAAATAAATGGGGAAAGATTGAGAAGGAAAATTAACAGAGTTAAAATTAAAGAAAAGAGGCTGAAGGGGAGAAATAAGCAAAGAAAAAAGAAGAAGGTAAGGGAATGGGAGAAAGGGAGGAAAGCATCAAGAAATGGAACTGTGGAGAGTCTAAGAGAAAATGGTTAAGAGTCAGTGAAAATGTTAATTGGTTAATAGAGAGAAGAATGTTAGTTGTAGAAATTATATGTGAAAATGCTGTTACTGTAAATGAAAAATATACTAGTAGATGCAATGTGAAAGAAAGAATGATATTGAAGAAGCAAATAGTAACATAAGGATTAATTGAAACTAAGATGGAAAATTGAAAATTGAATGTAAAATTGAATGAAATTGAAATGTTAAAAAAATGATTTAAATGTCATACTTGTAAGGGAATGGGAGAAAGGGAGAAAGGGAGAAAAGCATCAAAAAATAGAACTTTGGAGAGTTTAAAAGAAAATGGTTAAGAGTCAGTGAAAATATTAATATGTTAATAAAGAGAAGGATGTTAGTTGTAGAAATTATATGTGAAAATACTGTTTAATGTAAAATAGTTCAGTAGATGAAATGTGGAAAAAAATGAATGATGTTTTTGATGTTGGAGGAAACACTAAGTGGAGAGAAATAAAAGCAATAAAAGAATTAATTGAAATTAAGATGGGAATTGAAATTGAAATGTAAAATTTAATGAAAATGAAATGTTAGTAAATGATGTAAATGACAGACTTGTAAGAAGTAAAATGGAAGAAATACATTGTTAAAGGGAAAAAAGCAAGGATTGGAAGATTATTTTAACAAAGGGTTCAAGGAAAAAATGCACTAAGTTGAAATATTTGTTAATAATTAAAAAGAGGAGAGGAATTTCAAGTAATATTTTTAATAAATGAGAATGATTGGGGTTGCCTGGACACCATAGTGGAAAATATTAAATTGAAAATGAATACAGCAATAGAGAGAGATGAAAGAGGAGTAAAGAGATGGTAAGAGAAGGGGAGAAGAGAGAGGGATGGAAGAGAGGGGAGGAAGGAAGAGGGGGGAATCAAAGTAGGAGAGAGGGCTAGACAGGGAGGAAGAAAGGAGGAGAAGGAGAAAGGTAGAGGAAGTAGAGAGGAGCAGGAGAGAAGGGGAAAAGAAAGTAAGAAGGAAAGAAGAGAGGGAGATGGCAGGATTGAGAAGAAAGATTGCTGTACAACAAAAAAGATGAAATGGAAGAAAGGCAACCCCGAATATATATAAATAATACTAAGATAAAAAATGAATGGTTAAAAAATAAAAGAGAATAAATATGAATAAGCAGGAAAATTAGAATTTGAGGGTGAATGAAGATGTTGTTTATATAAGTAAGCAAAGAAATATTGAGATATGATTAAAAAAAGGGAAAAAAGAAAATTGTGGCAAAAATTGTAATTGAGTAAAATGTATTTGAATTTGATAAATTGTATAAGATAAGATATGGCCAATACTCTGTTCAAAAAAGATATGGGTGAATGTGTGTGTGTGGGGGGGGGGGACCAATAAAACTTGATTTAAAAAAAATTAAAAATAAGCTTCTATGGGGACATCACAACAATGATTTTTCAGTGGAGCCAGAAGGTAATGAGAATGGGGGGGGGAACTGCCCCAGAGCTGCAAAGGAGATCTTGCAAAACTGTTTTCAGCATTTTCTCTGCAGAAGGAGCTGAACTGGTAGATTTAACTGGCTTAATAAATGCCCAGGGCTCACGGAGACACTCACAGGTGATACCAGTTTTGAATTGGTGCAGACTTCATATATAGAAGGCTCCAGACCAGAGGTGGGTTTCAGCAGGTTCTGACCAGTTCTGGAGAACTAGTAGCGGAAATTTTGAGTAGTTCGGAGAACTGGTAGTAAAAATTCTGACTGGCCCCGCCCCCATCTATTCTCTGCCTCCCAAGTCCCAGCTGATCGGGAGAAAATGGGGATTTTGCAGTAACCTTCTGCTGGATTTGGAAGGGAATGGAGATTTTACAGTATCCTTTTCCTGCCATGCCCACCAAGCCACACCCACAGAACCGGTAGTAAAAATTTTTGAAATCCACCACTGCTTCAGACACTTTGACACAGAGAGAATAACGAGTGTAAAAGAACACTGAAATGATCTCCTGGGTCATCTTTACCAATTAGCAAATATATAATGAATTTGAATTTCTGTCTGTCTCTCGGTCTCTCTCTCCCTCTCTTTCCTCTCTCTGTCTCTGTCTTTCTCGCTCTCTGTCTCTCTCTGTCTGTATCTGTCTCTGTCTGTCTCTCTTTCTCTCTCTCTTTCTCTCTCTCTCTCTCTTGACATTTCCCTGCACATATGCAACCTAAGAACCCAAGCTACCAATAAAGATTAACAGTTTTCTGGCTTAACCCCAGTCTTCCTTCTTACAAGGAAATGTTTATGAATTTATTGTGTATATGTATGAAGCACAAGCATTGATTATCCAAGTAACACAATGTGATGAAAACCAGCTACAATCACAGGACTTCATAAAGTAATATGTTTGTCTTTATGGCTAATTCCATAATGTTTGAATAAATGTTATGGATTGGTCCTAAACCAAATTGTATTTCCAGCAACTGGTACATACTAGTTATGAAGTATCACTCAGCAATACATGGTTTTCATTTATCATATATAGCTTTTCGAATGACTGTGCCATGTAATATAATAGATTTAGACTCTCCAGATTTATAGCCCACTTTTCATTTTATTTTACATTCACCTTTGGCAAAAAGAACTATACGGACAGGTAGAAAATGTGCACATTATTATCCAGAATTTTAGCCTTAGATGTATAGTAAAAATAGTATAGCCTGTAATAGGATTTGCAATGACACTTCTTCGATCAGCCATTCTTGGTGTCCAGTGCTCATTCCCATACCTCATTATAAGGAAGACTATTGCTCTAATTGCTTTTATATTTATATCAATATATCTGCTTTTCCAGATCATATTTATATTAGCCATTGCAGTGCGGCCTCTCAGGTTTAGCCTGACACTTTAACCACTACACCAAACTGGTGATTTTCTATATATGATACTAATACGTAAAATTGCAAGGTCATGAATATAAAATTATGCACACTTTATACAATTTGTTGTGTTACTTGTATACCTGCAGATTCTCCAATGGGACAAATGAAACTTTAAGTCCTGAACTAGAAAATGAAAACCTCGCTGACATTAAAAATAAGGAATATAAAGAAAGCACAACCCTACAAATCAGAACAGCCATGCCAAGTCCCCGTCAGGAATTGCAGATCATAGTTCCAACTGAGGAAACGCTCCCAACAAATACAGAGCAAACTATTGTGGATTTTTCTGGAGCAAAGCAAGAAATAATCTCCTGCTACAAAATCCCTCCCAAAGTGATCGAAGCCCCTAAAGTACACTGCACGGAGGCGTCTGCCTTCACTGGAGGCAAGCCTGGCTCTACAGTTGAATTACAGTTGTCCTTTCCACCTGACAGGAATAAAAGCAGCAGCACTGGGTCTGGTCTGACTGTTGTGGAGGTCAAAGAGAGCAAGCCCCTGGAGACAGGATCGGTCCTAACACAAGAAGCGACTAGCTGGGTGAAAGAGCCTTCTGCCCAGTGGACAGGCAAGATAGTCCAGATTGTTGGTGGCAAAGAGATCCAAGGGACTCATGAAGGTGAGAGAAAGGAACCCTCTCTAACTAAGGTTGAAGTGATTCTGGACTGTTCTGATCAGGCAAAAGAAGCATCCAGGTTTCTGTCCGGAAAGGGGTGTGTAGAGTCTCAAGTGGAAGGAGGGCAATCAGAAGCACCTCCTTCTGTAGTCTCCTTTGGAATCTCATCAGAAGGCACAGAGCAGGGGGAAGACGAACAGCCCTCTGAAAAGGAACCCAGCAGACCTCACAAACACCGGGCAAGGCATGCCAGTAAGTACAGCGTAGCTAAACTGGTTGGCAGAGCATGAGGGTTATACTTTGGGAAAGGCAAACTGGCAGAGAACAGTTGCAACTATCTGCTTACTAGCAATAAATATTTCAAAGAGGAATTACCTAAATATGTCTTCTTTTTCGTCTTTCTTCGCTCTTCTTTAAACAACTGCCGTTTCTTTGTTTATACTTTGAAACTGTTTTTGCAAATTCCGTTAAAATGAATTATGACAAGCAGGCGATAAGCTTTGTAACTCTAACTGCAGAGCACATTTTGTAATAGAAAACCTGTTCGTGTCTGAGATATTAATTACTAACTTTTTCCTTCTGGATATGTTTGTATAAAAAGCCTATTAGATAATTTAAGAAGGGCTTAAAAGTTAACTTTTAAAAAATCCCAGAAGGAAAGGGAAGGGAAGGGAAGGGAAGGGAAGGGAAGGGAAGGGAAGGAAAGGAAAGGAAAGGAAAGGAAAGGAAAGGAAAGGAAAGGAAAGGAAAGGAAAGGAAAGTAGAAAGGGAAGGGAAGGGAAGGGAAGGAAGGGAAGGAAGGGAAGGAAAGAGAAGGGAAGGGAAGGGAAGGGAAGGGAAGGGAAGGGAAGGGAAGGAAAGGAAAGGAAAGGAAAGGAAAGGAAAGGAAAGGAAAGGAAAGGAAAGTAGAAAGGGAAGGGAAGGGAAGGGAAGGAAAGGAGAAAGGGAAGGGAAGGGAAGGGAAGGAGAAAGGGAAGGGAAGGGAAGGGAAGGGAAGGAAAGGAGAAAGGGAAGGAAAGGGAGGAAAAGGGAAGGAAAGGAGAAAGGGAAGGGAAGGGAAGGAAAGGAAAGGAGAAAGGGAAGGGAAGGGAAGGGAAGGAACGGAAAGGAAAGGAAAGGAAAGGAAAGGAGAAAGGGAAGGGAAGGGAAGGGAAGTTAAGGAAAGGAAAGGAAAGGAAAGGAAAGGAAAGGAAAGGAAAGGAAAGGAAAGGAAAGGAAAGGACCAAGTAGTGAGGTTTGATGATGCTTGCTGAAAGTTACTTTGACAGACACCAGCATGTGTATTTTTGGCTAGTTATATGATCCTTTCAGTTTTGCAAGGCTTCCCTAGTTTGTAAAGTGAACTTACTATTCCTTCTGCTTCCTATACCTGAAAATGAGTACAAAATCTAGGCAAAGACTGCAATTTGAAGTAACCTAAGGACCAAACAGTAATAAAATTGGAAAAGATTAACTTGAAAAAATATTTTGTCAAAGCATCTGCTTGTTTATTCAATTCTATTGTTGGCATCTGGGCAATCATTTCTGACTATTTCAAGAATTCCATCAAGGGATTTCATTGCAAAATGGCCAAGGCATGATGACATACTCTAGCCCTGAACTATCTTAACAGAGCCTGCCAGGTTAGGCATGTTCCCCCATTGCAAATTCTTCCTTGTGCGTATTTTTAGGACAACAGCCATTTGTAGTAATCAGTGGATTAAACTGTTGCTTAGATATAAAGTGTCCATATGTGAGCCACATATTTATATTATATTAAATGATGTATAAAGGAAGAGCACACATCCTTGGCATTTTGGCCCACTTATGCCTGACAGATTACATCATTACTTTAAAGAGAAATGAGTAGAACAAAGCAATCATGCTAATATTTTTCATCTGATACATGGAGATACTTCACTTTGAATGCACTTACAAGTCCAAAAACTTAACTTGAAAAGAGAAAAGATAAAGATAGATTTCCATGTCACAAATTAATTTAGGAAGCACTGACAGTTTCAAGGACACCTTGCAAGTGGTTATGAGAGTACACTTATGTGACTATACCTACAACATAGCAAGGTAACAATAGCGATGGTTTATGGAGCCTAAGAGGTAAAATAGCAAACTGAGCCAACTGTTAGGATATCTAGGATAACTGGTATTTATTTTTATTTTTGAAGCAACAGCGAATTGTTACCTATAATGTATTATTATTACATTTTCACTACCATGGAAGAGATCTCAAATTCCAAAATAGCCTAACTGGTTGGGATGGAGCTAGTGCCATTTTATACTTCTAAACTTAGTCTAACTCTCGAGCAGCTTACAGTTGAATAAAGCAACAGAGCATCTATGTGTTTTGTGGTATAAAATCAAATAAATAACTACCCTACACTTTATCATTCTGACAGAGCTACTTATGACAAAAATGTGTGCAATTAGATTAACATTTCTCTAAGGTCTCTAATATAAGAATTTCATTACAATTATCTGCTTCCTTTATTTTTTGCCAAATATATGGGAATTCTATGAGCCAATCCTATGTATGTGTTCTCAAAAGTATGTTCCTATCCATAGGACTGATCCCCAGGTAGTGCACATAAAATTGCAGCTTAGTTTCTATTTCCTAATATTTGGACAAATATCTTTGCATTGCCGAATGAGTGATACTTGCACTAAAATGTGAAAATGTAATACTGTATAACAGGCAACGTAGATTTAAAAAGGGCAATTTATCTTATGATAAACATAACATTAACAACATCTAGCAGTTGTTTCAAGATAAACCCAAGTTTCTATCCTCTTCAGTTCTTAAAAAAACGTTATTAGCAGCCTGATTGTATATAAAATTTATGTTCCTTTTAGATTATAAACTCACACTTTCGTTTAGTATTTTTGTTCCATATTAGTTTAGCTTTAAACTTTCTAAGTCAGGTATATTCCCAATCAACAATCAGATTGCATTCATAAAGCATTTGGCCAGATTTGTGTTCTCACTTAAAAATAAATGTGTTAGAAAACATGCTAAATATTTGTACAAGTCTCACTTTTAGGGAGCAAAGGGAATCAAAAATAGGTTTTCATAATATTTTAGGATTGTATCTGAAACTGGACTATGGACTCAGTAAGTTACTCTGTTTTATAATGAACTGCTTTTAAAAACAGTTGCAAATACAATTTGTTACATGTTATAAAAAGCTACACAGACTTAAACCCTCTTTGGATGTTCATTCCTACTTGGGTTCCAATAATACATCAACTTATTTTTCACCCTTGGTTTAATTTAAATTACTTTCATGATTACTTTCAGACAGTTTGATAGTAAGATAGCCAATGTTTTCTTGTAGCATGTGCACATCATCAGTAATACATTATATAAGCCAATCTACTTGTTCCCTTTGAATCTGATCTTTTAATTTTAATGAACATCATATCACAACTTGGCCATAATATACATATAGTTTGTAGCCTATATAGTCTATAGCCTGTATCCATGAGACTTTATCCAGCCATCTATATAAATTTGCAACCTGCTTGTCCTGAATGCTCAATATGGACAATAATGCATTTCAAACCAGATAGCAATTATTAAATAAAAAAGAGGGGGGGGAAATAAAATATATTGCTTATGAAAATAAATAAATTTTATGAAAATAAATCATCAATTCGTTTACATGTCTTCCAGTTCACCATTGTCAATGATCTGGTATTCCAGAATATATTCCTGACAGGGACATACTGTTCATTCTAAGAATATATGTTGGCAAAAATATTCTCTCTAGAGTCTAAAGAAAATGCCAGACTAAATGGCGAAGGATCCATTGCGTGCTGTCATTTCCCTGCTCTAGGAATGGAGACCTCAAAATGTCACCAAGAGACCTAGTATGTAATCTTTGGTGTTAGCAAGCTTCCTTTTCCTTCGTGGCCTTTCAGATGTTTCATACTATTTAAAAATTAAAAGAAGGGAGTATGCAAATATGGCAGTTTCAGAATCATTTGAAAAATGCTTCTATGATATACATCAGGCCCTCAAGAATATTTAAATTGTGGGTGGCCACAGTTCATTCCTTCATAAAAAAAAAAAAAGTAGCACACTATCCAGAAAATGAGGACAAGTAATTGTATTAGGCCTTCAGACCTGCCACAGAGAGGAGGTGACAGGGAACATTTTGATAACTTGGCGCCTTGAGGCTGATTATTCTCACATGACTGAATTTTTATGAATGAACAAACATACATATATATACACACACACACCTACCACCCAGTGGTGGGATTCAAATAATTTAACAACCGGTTCTCTGCCCTAATGTTTTCTTCCAACGACCAGTTCATCAAACTGCTCAGAAAGTTAACAACTGGTTCTCCTGAAGTGGTGCGAACTGGCTGAATCCCACCATTGCTACTCCAAATCCTGCACTCATGTTCTCAAAATTCCAAATAATCAAGGTTTATTTTTATATTTATTGGTTAGGAACGGCATAAAATATTCCTACTTTATTTTCACATACACACACACACACACACTTTAAGTCCCACTGCTACCACTTCGAATCTAGATATTGTGGTCTGATCTCATAGTATATTGATGTTATTAACTCTGAAGTCTCTGCCTGGATGTGCATTATCTCAAATACTGAGCTAAAAGGTATTTATTATATTCTGCTCCCTTTTACTCAGTAATAGATAATAGTTAAACAGTGTAATTTCATGGAGAGTACTGTAGGATTCTCCTCCTTAAAAAAGGACTCCAATAAAACACTTCTGGGCGGGTGACCTTGGGCCAGTCCTTCTCTCTCAGCCCTAGGAAGCAGGCAATGGCAAACCACAAATAAAAACTTTCATAAAACTGCAGGGGCTTGTCCAGGCAGTTTCTAGGAGTCAAAAAACAAATACAAAGGCATAAAATAAATAAAAATTAAAAAAAATAACTTACATTTTTAAGTTTAAAAAAATTAAAATTAAAAATCAAATTCTAATACAGCACAGAACAAGAAAAAACTCATTCATTCTAGAACCTACTATATAAATTACTTAAATGTGATTATTATATTCCAAAAAGTAGTCCATTATATAAATTACATTGCATATATTTTCATCCAGATAATGTTTCAACAAGAAAATTTCCTGTATGAATTATTTATTATTACAGAAATTAGTCCTGTTTGAATCTAAATCCTAAAACCTCTCAAAGCGCTGCAGATCCAAGTTAATATCCATCATAAAAAATACACCTCAGTTATTTATCTTCTACCTTATTTTGTCCATATATCTGCTTCTTTCTGGGTAGATATTATAACATCAAACGTTTGTGTAAGTTGAAATAGCAAAACTGTGAGAAGAAAAGATTAATCAAAGAATGCCACTAATGAAGGAATGCTTGCTATGGAATGGTCATGGTTGCAACTGTGGGAAAAGATTAATCTTAATGCCCTGCCCATACTTCCTTTATAAGGGTGAGGAATCAGACTCTAAAGAAAGAAGGATTTGTATTATAGTCTTATGACCCAAATAGCTATTGTTAAAATTGTTGTCATGTTATCCACTAAAATATGTTCTTTATTCTTTTCCTTCAGGGCTGAGAAGGAGTGAGAGCCTCTCAGAGAAGCAGGTGAAGGAAGCTAAGTCTAAATGTAAAAGTATTGCTCTCTTACTGACAGCAGCTCCAAATCCCAATTCCAAAGGAGTGTTGATGTTTAAGAAGCGTCGCCAAAGGGCCAGAAAATATACGTTAGTTAGCTACGGCACTGGGGAACTAGAACGTTACGAAGACGAAGGTGAAGAAGACGAAAGTGAAGAAGGTGAGAAGGAGAACACTTTTGAAGTAACTTTATTTGGCACAAGTGAGTCAGAAATTGATGAAGATTTCTTCTCTGACCTGGATAAAGAAGAACGGATTGTGACATTTGATTGGGATACTGGACTACTTGAGATTGAAAAAAAAACCAAACGTGGGGACGAGATGTCACAGCTGCTTCCAGAGACCAAGGGCAAAGGGGCACTCATGTTTGCCAAAAGACGTCAAAGGGTAGACCAGGTCACTGCTGAACAAGAAGCAATGAAGATGCAGGGTGTGCACAGAATTGAGGCACACCGAGAGGCCACTTCAACAGAAGCCATCCAAAATATGAGTTCTTCCTTTTATCAAGCCAAACAAGAAGAATCTGCCAGAATGCAGAAAAGCCACATAAGCAAAAGCTATATAGAAATGAACCATAGTCCTAGGACAATAGTTCAGCAAAATGGCATCAGGGCTGTCCCAGAGATAAATATGATACATCCACCTCCAGAAGCTGTTAGCTCACCTACTTCAAACAGAACAGCCAAGCCTTTCCCTGGTGTTCAGAACAGAGCAGCAGTTCCATTTTCACCCCCAAGAAGCATGGTTACTCATCCCTCCGAGCTACCTGCCCCACCTCCTTATACTTCAGTTAGCCCACCACCTGAAGCATTATATAGAACTGTTTTGACTCCAGTGGCCACAAGCATCAGTCAGTCAACATTGTGGTCTCCAACAGAATCAACAGAGCAGATTGCATCCAGGGATGAACGGATTGCTGTGCCTGCAATAAGAACTGGAATATTACAGGAGGCCAAGAGAAGAAGCACTGCAAAGCCTATGTTTACATTTAAAGAAGCACCCAAAATGAGTCCAAATCCTGCTCTTTTGTCCCTCGTACAGAATACAGAAGGCAAAAAAACTGCCACTGGTGGCTTTGAATCAGGTCCTGAAGAAGACTACCTCAGTTTGGGAGCAGAGGCCTGCAATTTCATGCATATCCAGGCTGCCAAACAAAAGATCCCACCCCCAGTTGCTCCCAAACCCTCGGTAAAGGTTTCTCCGACTGCCACAACACCTATTTCACCAGTCTGGTCACCTCCAGTGGTGGCTGTTACTCAAGCTCCCATCTTTCCAGTTCCAAAATCTCCAGAAGTAGCAAGCCCAGCAGCCATCAAAGTAGCACAACCATCTTATCCCCCTCCACAGCCTCCACAGCCTCCACAGCCTCCAAGTACTCTTAACCTGGAGTCTTCCTTTAAGGGTGTTCAAGTTTCATCACCCCACCAAAATTATACCCCCAAAACAACACCCATTACTCCATTAGGAAATGCTGTTCTTGCTGGTGGAATGGGGCCAGCTTTTGAGATGCCCCCAGCACTGAGTGGTAAGGGGGCTCAGCTCTTTGCTAAAAGGCAATCACGGATGGAAAAGTATGTAGTAGACTCAGAAACTGTGCAGGCCAATCGGCCCCGGCCTTCATCCCCAACTCCATCATTACCAGCATCTTGGAAATACTCATCAAATGTTCGAGCACCACCCCCTGTGGCTTATAATCCCATCCAGTCTCCATCTTATCCTCTTGCTGCTATCAAATCTCAGTCACAGCATCCTGGAGCTACCAAAACTACTAAGAAAAAATCTAAGAAACAATTAAGCTCCTTGGAAGTGATGAAGCATCAGCCATACCAGCTTAATGCATCTTTATTTACTTTTCAACCTCCGTCTGATACTAAGGAAAATCTCCTTCCCAAACATCCTTCAAAGATTGATTCAGTGTCTGCCTTGAAACAAGCTGTACCATCAAGAGTACTCAATGCTGGTTCTCCCTCTAATGTTCAAGCTTCTTCAGTATATTCTGTACCAGCCTACAGCTCACAACCATTCTTCCCATCGAATGCTTCTAGTCCTGTAATTGAGTCCTACACATCAATGGGCTGCCCTACATTTTTGAAGCAAGAACCAGCAGGATCTCCTGTATTTTCTGTTCCCAAGCCAAAATTCTCAGCCAAGAAAGTTGGTGTCACAGCACAGGTGTGGAAACCGGCAGTCATTGAAGAGTAAAACATAGATACAACTCACTGTTCACTTGCCATGAATTCTTTATAATCATAACCTGACACCCAAAATGATCCTCAACTTACTTAATAATTTTCAAATATATCACATAAAATCGGGGTCCAAAAAAGGCTTAAGCCTGAAAATTTATGCACATTTACCATGATGTAATAAATTCAGTGATAATTACTTCAGGTAACTGTGCATATGTTAATTATTTTACATGAATTAAAATGAATATTAATTTGCAAAAATTGTATGCATTTATGTATACAATAATTTTATTACTATTATCCAAGCAGGCACATAGGATATTCTATAAGTCATGTACTAGTATTAAATGAGTAGTATGTTAGGCGTTAGTGCTTTGATACACACATACTCAGTGGATTCTGTTCCTGCATTTTATCAATTAGAACATGGTTTTCACCAAGTTTTACTGTTAGGGTAGGAAAATATGCTAATCTAACAGCCTGAGTATAGCCACCCAATTATTTCTCGAAAATGGCAATATTATCACTCATGAATACAGCTTGTATACAACACAGATTTGACCCAATTCTGCAACTGAATCCTTATAAAAATTTAAGCCTCCTCATTATAATGGGGTGAGTCCTACTGTTAACTTTTTGTACTGCATCTATGAGAGTGGGAATGTATTTCTTTCTTTTTATGTTCCCACAATTAAAGGTTGAATGTGCAAAATTGTAAAATCAAAGCAGCAATTCCTTGATTCTCAGCTAAGATTACAAACAGGCCAGCAGAAGTACATGATTTTGAGAATATCTCTATGCAAACATTAAGCCTGATGTAGACACTCAGATAATAAGGCTGTGTTTCATGTAATTCCTATCCCCATAAGAGGATAATTTGTGTATGTTAAGCACAGATAGGTTGCTCTTTTTTTTTTTTTGTTCAGTTGTGATACTTTCACAGAATGGGATCTTCAGGGTAGCTTAAATATGACACACTGTCATAAATTACCTCTGATCTCCCACTTATTGCAACTATAAGTATCCTTTAAGGAAGATTACAGCAAGTTTTGGAAAAAGAAAGACATTAGGGAAGGAAGCTTAGGCTGTTTCCCTTTTAAAATAATGTTGATCTCTTCGACATTAGAATAGTTCTTTGACTGTCATATTATGTATCATTAGAAAAAAAAAAACAATTAGAACTCTTGAAGAACCAAGAAAATAAGCTGGCTTCTACAGCTTTGGAAATGGTGCAATATGTCGTTGTGAAAGCAGAGAGACTAAAATCTGAAAGGACATATCAGTTTTGCAACCAGAGTAGTGATGTGCCTAAAACATGATTGAAATATGATATGGCTTGACTCCTGACCTCATTGCTGATCTCTGGGGCACATTCTTGTTTTCACTTGGGACTTTCTAATCTTGCTTCTTTCACTTGTATTTCTTTTCACTATATTCTTGTTCTCACTTTGCTTTCAATTAATATGTGGTGGACCAGGAGGATCAAGACACTGTTACCATGCTATCTTCTGTTAAGATTATACCTGCTTATTTCAGTCTGTGGATACAAACGGACAATATTTTTATGTCCAGTAATGTTTCGATCCATCAGTGGATATTTACAGATCAATGCACTCAGATGAGTTTAACTTATTTTCACAAGAAGTATCTCATTGATGGACTTTTCCCCTTCTTTCCCTGAATCTGTTTGCTAATAATTACTTAAACTAGTACAACAAACCAATAGCATAGTCCTATGTCTTTTACAAGGTAATTCCTACTATTGCCTGAGGAATTTACTCTCAGAATATTGTCCATAGGATCGTACCTAAATAGTATGAATTAATTTAAAACTACAAAAATTCTATTCTTAGTTTAAGATAAGCCGCAAAGATGGTGAAACATCTTGATTAATAACATTTTATGTAAAGGCACTTACTACCGACGGACAAAACATATTGAGGTCTGCTTTGGGAACTGCACAGTACCCATCAAGATTAGTGTTGTCTATTTTGACTCTGAAGCTCAGGGTGAGATCTTTGTCAACACCTCTACTTTGTCCTGTTAATTGGAGATGCCAAGGAGCTCTGCTGTCAATCATCTACTGAAAATTCTTGACTCCTTGGATTTCTTTGAAAATGAAATGAACTTGTGCTCTGCCTGTTACTCTGTTCACAGTAATCACTTGGCTAGGGCAACCCAAAAAAGCGACATATTATAGTAATTTGTCCAACCATTAAAAGAATGCTATGAAATTAATTTCAGAAACTTCTGAATCAATATTACTAAAATATAAATGGTTGTGAATCATATACATGCACCTATTTACCTTTACCAATAATCATAATTAAAATGTTTTTATAAACAATTTATGCCCTGACACACAGAAATAAACCAAAGTATAGTTTCCTAGTTTCCATTTCCACCATGGTGGCATGACATCATGGTTAAAAAGAAAAATGTAAGGGAAGACATAGAATATATTATGTGAACAGATTGCTGGAGACTGTGAAATTATGGACACAAGACAAGTGAGAACAACATTTCCTCTTATAGTATAGATGGGGGGGTGTCTTTGTGAGATTGAAGATTTGGGCATGTTGAAGATCAAATTTAAAAAGGAAAAAGTTGCAAAATGTGCCTTATAATGTTATGCATTTTGAAGAGATTTAAGATTTTATATATGCAGACCAAGCATTCCTTGACAATACATATCTTTATCTATATTGCATAAACAAACTGCTGGACTAGCACTTTGGCCTTAAATATATTGATCAAGTATTTATCTTAATTACCACAGGACCTATGTCTGGTGTTCCAAGTGCTAGTTGGCTTTAGATAAATTATTTTATCTGAATTAGCCAATACTGGAAGTCAAGGGTGATTGTTTATCTTTTTAAAATGAATCAACATATTCTGCACAGAAATGTATACAGAGGATTCTTTTCAACACAAACTAAGATTATAAAGTACCAGTATTTTAATCCTCTTGAGATCTTTCTGTTCATTTTCCAATTGCAACTTGCTGTATTTTTCTCTAACATTAAAATTGTTCCTTTCTTCTTTGTTTTTATTTTTCTTTCATTTCCCAAATATTCATCTGAAATTTTAAAATATTAGCTTTTCTTTCTTCCTTATTTGCTTTCTTCCCTAAAATAACTCAGAATACTGCATTAAAGTAGATCAATAACTCCACTGAATTCATATTCTTGAATCTGAATAAACTGTCACTTAACTATATTACCACTAGCAAACTGGCTCTTGGAGTAACATTATAGTCTTGTGTCTTTCTACCAAATGCTGGACCAAGGAATTAATCAGAAAAATTTCCCAGTTCTGCTGACCCATAATGTCATTCTGTTTCAGTGGCTTATCCTCCCAAGGGTGGTCATTCTGCTTCTATGTATTTTTTATTATTCTATAATTTCATATTTCTGTTGTTCTTCTCAAGCTCTTCCCTAGAGAATTCCTCAGCTTTGAGTATGGTGAATGGCTCTTATCATATCTGTCAGAATTGGATTATGAATTGAAACTAATAGGGCGAGATTCTGTGAATATGCACATGGAAATTTTAATGTAGACACATGGGTCTGATCTTATTTATTTATTTTAAAAAGGTGTAATGTGTTAGCATGAATTGCTTTCTTATTGAAATCTATGCTTTCTGAAGTAGATTAATGAATGCTTTGAGGCCTGAAAGTGTGACTGAACCAAAAAAGGGAAAACAGCAGTCATGATCTTATAACCAAAGCTCCACTCCTTTCTTGTGTGTGATATGAAGAAATATACAAAAGGATTATGACCACTGTCTTGATTTTTTTTTATCCTGGCTCCCATCTCCCACTGCCCACTGACTGACCAAGTTATTGAGAATTACAATTCTGACATGACTTCATTCATAGCATTCATAACCTAGCATGATTTGTCCACAAAAGAAGTGTGCAAAATAAATTTTGTTTTAACTTGTTGAACATAATTGTTCGAATCAAATATTGCTTCTATATAAAGGTGTCTTTTATAGTAATCTCTCTCCAGGTTTTTCCTAAAAAAGAATATTACACTTACAATTATTAAATGCTCTTTTCAAAATAACCAGCGAAATATTTATTTAAGAAGATATTGTGGATGTGTCACTTCAATGTTTACTTTTAAAGAGCATTTTCTGGAAACACTATTATGGCCTCCTATATATTGCTATGGCCCTGGGAAAGCATGTTCTCTTCCTGAGTTAGAGAGAGCTTTAGAATGCTTTTCATATTTTACTTCACAGGGAATGGTTCCCAAAGGGGATTGGTAATAGAATACAGTGCTTCTCGCCTCTTGATCAAATATGGCCTAGGGATAGGAATGACTGAAAGCCATGACCAGCTGCTGAGTAGTGTGAGTGACTTCAATGAATGGTATCTGTTCCTACTGTTTAAATAAACCAATTACTATCACTCCTAACCAGAACTCCAATAAGCATGAACTGGCATTCTTATTGAAAGGCACAGAAGTATCAAGGAAAAATAGAAATCATGACTTAAGGTTTTCTAGAATATTCTCAAACCAGTCTGAATTGTCAAGAAATTGCCATGCTTTGTTTTATTTTTGATGTATCCACGTTTTCACATTTTGGGGCAATTTTGTAATAATTTCACTAGAAAAGAAATAGATTGAGAAACCAGAAAATAAGATAAGGAACACAAAACTTTGGAGAGTTGTGGAAATTATTCAACTTTGTGGAATTTTGCCACTGTTGCTCTGTCAAAAGTATTCTCTACATAATTTTCATGCTCCAAATCATGATTAAGCTTCAAATGTTAAATGCAGAAATATACAGTATATATTTATCCTACTCTTTCAAAAGCTGGCATGACATAAGGACAACCTGTGAAATCGGAGTTGGATATTATTCTGAATGATAAGAATGAATGTTGTGAAAGGACCTTTATAGTCATAAAGCAGTGAGTGTTTTCCAACTAGAGCTCCTTTAGGTGTCTCTCTTTCCTATTTCCCAATTTT